CTGGACGCAGGGCTTAGTGACACTGGACGCAGGGCTCAGTGACGCGCTGGACGCAGGGCTCAGTGACGCGCTGGACGCAGGGCTTAGTGACACTGGACGCAGGGCTCAGTGACGCGCTGGACGCAGGGCTCAGTGACGCGCTGGACGCAGGGCTTAGTGACACTGGACGCAGGGCTCAGTGACACGCTGGACGCAGGGCTCAGTGACGCGCTGGACGCAGGGCTTAGTGACACTGGACGCAGGGCTTAGTGACACTGGACGCAGGGCTCAGTGACACGCTGGACGCAGGGCTCAGTGACACGCTGGACGCAGGGCTCAGTGACGCGCTGGACGCAGGGCTTAACCCTAAGGTTGGCAGACCATTTGAGAAGGAATTTCCTGGACGAGTGAGAGCTAAATTCAATGTATCTGGAGCTAGTTTTCAGGAGTTGGGGAACCCCAATCATCGACCTCCTAACTACCAGGAGGAACACAAAGCTTCCACTATTCTTTTCAAGGAACAGATGTCACAGAGCTCTACGCCAGGATGCATTCTCGGTGGCATGGGACTTCCCGCTGGCATACATATTTCCCCCTTAGCCCTCAGGGTCTTACAGAAAATCAAGTTAGAGAGAGTTCCAGTGATTGTAGTCCTCCCATTCTGGCCGAGGAGGCCATGGTTCCCGCTGCTGCAACAGATGGCATCTTTCCCTCCATGGTTCTTCTCGGTCAGGAGAGATCTTCTTCAAGGGCAGTGTCAGCACCCGAATCCGGGGCACTTGCACCTGGCAGCCTGGTTCCTGAAGGCACGTGATGGAAAGACCAGGGCCTTTCATTAAAGGTTATAGATACCATGCTTCGTTCTAGGGGGCCTGCAAGGCACGCTACTTATTCAAGAATATGGAACAGGTTTCTGATGTTCGCAAGTGGAAAAGGCTTCACTCCTATGGCCGCGGGTATTCCAGGAAATTCTGGAGTTCCCGCAGTCGGCCTTAGATGCCGGTTTGGACTACAACTCGCTACGGGTTCAAATTTCGGCTTTATCGGCATTTACCGGAGTAAAAGGGGCGGACAACGTCTTACTGAGGACATTTATGAGGGCAGCCCCAAGAATGCGACCTCCAAGAAAGTCCTTATACCCATCATGGGACCTGGATCTAGTCCTTCAGGTCCTATCGAACCCTCAGTATCATCCTTTGGAACAGTGTACCTTATGGTCCCCAACTCTGAAGCTGGTATTCTGGACGGCCATCACTTCAGCAAAGAGGGTTTCAGAGTTAGCGGCTCTTAAAGAACCTTTTTGCGTGGTTCTAGGGAACCAGGTCATTCTGAGGCCATCGCCAGAGTTAAGGTGTCTTCAGCATTTCATGCGGATTGGGAAGTGGTCTTGCCCGGAGGCCAGACATCGCAAGCAGGACCTGATCGGGAGCTCCCTCTGGCATTGGATCTGGTCATCTTATTCAGAGAATACCTCCGGAGAACGCTGCCTTTTAGGCAGACAGACCAATTGTTTGTTCTTCCCAAAGGGCCAAGAAAAGGAATGGACGCTACGCCTTACTCCTCCGGCGGAAGTGCGGGCGCACTCGACAAGGGGGGTGGCCACTTCTTGGGCTGCTTACGCCAAGGTGTCGATTGAGGATATATGTAAGACGGCGAGGTGGAGTTCACGGAACACGTTTTTCCGTCATTATCACATGGATGTCGCAGCGGCCAGATTGTCTCGCTTTGGGTCTGCTGTCTTATATTTTTGCAGTAGATAGTTTTGGTTGTGGTTATTTTTTTTCTCCCTCCCTCAGGGTGTTGCTTGCTACGTCCTATCAGAATGAGGAGGAGCCAGGAATACAGAAAATTGTTATCCTACTTACCGTAATTTTCTTTTCCTGGCTCATCCTCATGTCAGCACACATACCCACCCTCAGTTGCAGGCCTGTCGCTCGCCTTGTCAGGGAACAGGGATCTAAGGGGGGGGGGGGCTGGCCTTTATTCTCTTTTGGAAGGTGGTCCTGTGGGGTCAGAGGGGCGGAGCTGACACATCAGTATGCGGACATGAGGAGGAGCCAGGAAAAGAAAATTACGGTAAGTAGGATAACAATTTTCTGTAATATGTAGGGTGCTTGTTCATCTTATGTGGGTGGGGGG